TTGTCTGAAACTTTTTTTCTAAGATACATATTTTCGGCGGTATTTAACTGTAACACTTTAATTTGAACACCCGGTATATTTAGAATTTTTGCTTCTTAATGTGATTTATTTATTTAATTGATCCTAATGTACTGAATTATTAGTAGGTACGAAATTTTTTTTTAATTTTGTGATAAAATATTGCATGCTTTCTGCTGTTTTGGTAAAAATTTTATCCATGGAAACGCGAACCTTTAATCAAAGTCGATTGTAGATTTCTCAAGATTTTTTTGTACAGTGAAATAACAATAATTTTTTGACATGCCTAGGTACTAAAAACAAAAGTTTTGCCAAATAACATTACCTATGAAACTTTTTTCATTTAAATTGAATCATTTTAAAACCCGTCTTAAAGAGATTTAATAAAAAATGCAGAATTTTTACACAAATTCGATTTTTACATAAGATTAACTAGGTACTTTGAGATTTTTAGGAATATTCCCAGTACCAATTTTAAAATTTCGCATCTTCTCCTGTTTTGTTAAGGCTAATAATTAACAACCATGGTTAATTCAAAACATTAATAATACTAATAATTTAAAAATATATAAGATACTTTTCGTAATTGGTACGTCTATGATAAGTAAATCCTAACCTATAAATACTTACATATGAAACGAAGAATTTGGGTCCAATTTGTCTTGTTTTTTACAAATTTTGCACTGTTTCACCATTTTTAAAGTTTGTATGTTAACAAAATAATGGGAAATCACTTTCACAAGAAAAAACTGAGAAAATCCGATGAACAATAACACTAAACAATCTCTACAACGCCAACTGTCAAAACAAGTTGATGGAATTATGAATGAATATTTTATATTCCGTTGTCTAAGCTCACAATAAACAACGTAATATGCCCCGCCTACAAAATACTAGCTGTTGCCACATCTCGTAAAAAATACTTGATATTTAATATACCACTAACAAGTTTTGGAATTTATTGAAAATAATTACATCTAATTTAGTGAAATTATATCTAATTTAGTTAAATTTGATATAACAAATGATTCAACATTTTTTGGGTTCAGTTGCAGTAAAATAGGTTGAATTATTTTAGCTTTTTTAATATATGTAAATAATTGTGTAAAAAAAACGAGAATAATGAAATAGGTATATGACAACAGCGGATATTATACCCTAGTGTGTCCCTTAGAATATGTCTTATTCACGACAGCACGATATTTGTAAGTAACTACATCTCCTGTTATCTCTGTCTGTGACCTATGTAATATGTAAATTTTCAGCCAGAGGTACGATCGCTTTTTTTTAGCCGATATTTTTAGATACATAATTTGAGTAGTCTGATGCTTTTTTTGCAGGGGCTCTAAACTAAATCCTTGCAAATGACATTTCCTAATGGTCCCGCCAACTACTTCACAAAATTCCAGCAGGAAGTACGATATCGTACCACCGTACCACCTTACGGCTCCCAATCTATAAAGATATTTTTAATAATTTATTGCCACGAAAATTATTTAGATAATGTAATTTTCGCGTAAGTTAATAGTTTTAATTTTTGTCTTCACTCACATGGATATTAACTAATCTACGCACAGAGTACAAAAAGTATGCTATTGCGTTCAACTGAACAAATATATTTCAAAGCTATTCTAGGTAGTGAGAATACTTCAAAAAAAATCTGATGTGTCCAACACATGACTTTCCTATCTAGTTATTGTAGCACCTCTATAAATGCTTAGAAGATAAAATAAATATATACATTTTCCACATACATCTAAATGGAAACATTTTTCTATAGATATTCATTAAAAACAAAAATACTGAAAAATTTAAATTTAGCACTTTTCCTCCAATTTTTCCATTACGATCCATTTTAGAAAAATCATGTAAAAACAAGAATTATAGAAATCGATATCGCAAACAACTTTTAGTTTAACAATTTTCTCAAAAATCAGAATTATGCACATTTTGTCAAATTTCTCGAATACGGACCATTTCAGGAAAATTTGACATAAAACAAAAATTATAGATAATAATATTAAAAGTAACTTTTGTTTAAACCTTTTTCTTCTTCAAACATAAATAACAGATATATTCCATAAAATATAGAAACGGCCTCCCATAAAGTAACCCCCCAGATGTTCCGACTTTGTCCAAAATCTAATCACTTCACGTCAAGCCGAAATGAAACTTAAGTTTAAAATTTAATGTTTTTTCCTTTATCCGTTTTTGAGTTTTCTTCAAAATTCGAAATTCACACATTTTCTCAAATATCTCGAATACGGTCCATTTTAGAGAAATTTTGTATAGGATGAAAATTATAAAAAAAATATATTACAAATAACTTTTATTTGAACAATTTTTATAAAAAATAATTTTTTTACATTTTGTTAAATTTCTCGAATACGGACCATTTTAGGAAAATTTTGTATACAACAAAAAATATTGATAATATTGTAACTTTTATTTGAAGAATTTTCTTCTCCAAACGTAAATAACAGATATATTCCATAAAATATAAAACTGACCACCAATAAAATACCACCCCAAAAGTTCCGACTCTGCCCAAAATCTAATCAGTTCATTGTACGCCGGAATAAAGCTTAAGTTTAAAATTTGGTATTTTTCTTTGTATCGGTTCGTGAGTTATGGTGGATACACACACACACATACACACACACACACGCGCACGCACGCACGCACGCACGCACGCACGCACGCACGCACGCACGCACGCACGTACGCACGCACGCACGCACGCACGCACGCACGCACGCACGCACGCACGCACGCACTCACGCACGCACGCACGCACGCACGCACGCACGCACGCACGCACGCACGCACGCACGCACGCACGCACGCACGCACGCACGCACGCACGCACGCACGCACGCACGCACGCACGCACGCACGCACGCACGCACGCACGCACGCACGCACGCACGCACGCACGCACGCACGCACGCACGCACGCACGCACGCACGCACGCACGCACGCACGCACGCACGCACGCACGCACGCACGCACGCACGCACGCACGCACGCACGCACGCACGCACGCACGCACGCACGCACGCACGCACGCACGCACGCACGCACGCACGCACACACACACACACGCGCACGCACCCACACACGTACGCGCACACACACACGCACCCACACATGCACCCACACACGCACGCACCCACACACACACACACACACACACACACACACACACACACACACACACATCATCCCGAAAATAGTCGAAACGGATTCAGGGGACCCCAAAACGTAAAAATCCGTCGAAAACTGGAGGTCGAAAAAAATCATGATGCCTATACTTTCCTTATCTGCATACAGATAGGAAAGTAAAAATAAAATCCTCCAATCGCAGTTCATATTTTGGACACCCAACCACGATAGATAGACTAACGGTATATTCCTGCGCATGCAGCTGACTGACAGTGACGTCTCGTGGGACATAGAATTATAAGCATTAAGTGGGAGATAGTGTTTAAAATTCGATATTTTGCAAATTTTAGATTTTATGCAGTTAATTAAGCTTTATTGGTTATTTTGTAATAAATTCGTTTACAAATATGAAGGTTTGAGGTAAATAATACTAATAAAAATATTAATTTGTCTCATAAATTATAGGTATTTTGTGACAAAATCCATAACCTTGCCATAAGATAAGTAAAAGATATAGACTAAAAATACAAGTTTGACTCAAATTTGTACTTTCTCGGCATAATAGTTCTCTTGCAATCTCTTTTCTTGTTATGTGAAATAAAAATAAGTGTGCAAAAACAAATTATTTATTTATAAAAAGTACACAAAAACATTACTTTTTATTTTGTAAATTTAAACATTTTTTGTCGAGTTTACTATGAAAATACTCAAAACCAATTTTCCTGTTCATTTATCTTATTCTTGTATATGTTCGTGTCCTGCTCATGCATGGCATTACTTCAAAAGGATCGTTGTATTGGGACAGGAAACTACTGTTTTACCTGCTAAAATTTTTAAATATCGATTTATTTTCTTTGCTTAATGAGGCCCGTGCACCTGGTGGAATTCAGTTTCCTTTTCTTGCGTCTATATTTAAGAGGAATCTCACAACTACTTTCCTCAAAGTGGATAGGGCAACTTCAATTAAGTTTGTCCTTTCTTCGATAAGAATTTACCCATATTTTGTGGCATTCGGAAATGTCTCCACCGCGCAGCCCGGCATTTTAAACATTAATTTAGTTCTTCCCTATTATATATAGGAAAATATAGTCACTACTAACACAAAAACACATAAATTATTAAATTATTTTACACTATTCAATCGAAAAGTGTCAAAATAACTTGAAAGTTCATCACGAATTACGTCATGCGCGGTATGGACGAATTTTGAATCGAAAGTCAGCGTACCTTTAGTAAGTGTATCGTGCACCCAACTACTATTATCGTTAAAAATTTATGTAAGTGTCAATTCTGTCAAACTAATTTTCCGTATATTTTTTAGTTATTGAGATTGAATATACATTAAAATGAGCAATTTTTGTGTAGAATCGATAAATAATAGCATTTTTATTTTTATTTGCTCCACTTTTTGAAAAAAAAAAAAAATATATTTTAGTCAAACTATATGAAACTAATTTAATTAAGAGTATTAAAATTAAAATACTAAAACGGGCGTTGGAGGAGAGGGCAGAGCGTTTGCCTTCCACGCGTAAAGCGCGGGTTCGAATGTAGGCTGGAGTCAATTAAATTAATCCTTTTTTTTGCATGTTTATTTTATTTTAAAAATAACTAAAATGCATAAATTATTTTAAAATTGGTTATTTTGTCTTAATAACCTACAATAATTTTTTTAATTTGTAGATTTTCGTTTGTGCGTCGTAGGAAAAATATACTGTACTGCTCGAGTGGATTATCTATATCGACTCTTGTACAAACTACTATTTTTTGTTTGTATTCAAATATTAAAAAAATATATATTTGTTGGTAAGAAACTTACTTTTACTGTTAACGTACTCACTAAAAGTCACAAAAAGAACTGACCGTTAACAATGTACTTTCAGTTAAAGCCTTATCAACCTTGAATAATTACACTTTTATTATCGCGTAATGAATAAAATAATTACACTTTTTTCAATTATTACTGCATAATTTTTAATATTTACGTTGTTCTTGAGAAATGTATCTGACAGGTACAGTTTAGTTTTTAGAGGTTCATGAAAATCAATTCTTAACGTAGAAATTATAACTTGGGGATGGTTTATACCGCCTGTCACCGAAACCGCAAATAACTGAACATGAATATCTGTTTTTCAGGTATCGGGAAATCAAAATTGATTTTTGCATTTCATCATGCACCTACACGAATAAAATAAATTCATTTTTATACATTCTTTTTTTAATAGAAATTCGCTCAATTCGCTAAATTGGTGGTTCCCACCTTATCGAGACCACGGACAAACTCGTGGCACAAAAGAAACGAGAAACGATTTTTAATTTTGAACGAAAGACCGTAAGACGATAAGATGTTGAATTTTCGTTAGCATTGGCGTTACTTATTCTAAATCACGTAGAGGATCTTTACTTTTTATTGCCCAGGTTTTTAAGAATCATTCCATCATAGGCGCCGGTAAAATATTTTTTAGGGGGTGCAAATAATTTTGGAAAAAGGGGAGGGTAGAGGGCGAAAGTTAAATTACACTAAAAATATTTAATAACAAGGTTTTTCTATAAGTACTAGTACTAGAGATAATTTTTTAAAATTTATTATTTCCAAGTATTTATGTAGAATCCAACGATTATTTGAATTAAATGTAATTTCACATTATAATGTGAAAAGTTTCGAAAGGATAGTTTGACGTCATAAATTAAAAAGATACTAACTTTGATTTTCCAAAATAATAGAATCACGTTAAGACCAAACAACAATTGTGTTGACACGGAGTTAGATGTTTCTAATTATTATGGATATAATATTCCTAACTTAATTTATTTTATTTTATTTTTATTTACTTTATTTTATTTTATTTCATTGTACCAACCATGTATTAAATCTTGTGATTAATGACCTGAATGATGTTGCTGCGAAATAAGAAATACCATTGGAACTTCGCACGAAATCAACAATTTTTCCAGTAATATAATCACGTTAGACCGTAATAAATCAAAATTGGATGTCTATAAAGCTAGCATGGCAAATTAATAAGCCCGTAGAGTGACTTATACTATATTTTTTGGCTAATTTTTGACCCATTTTTTTCACCCAATTTTAAATTTTTTTGCTCCTGCCGTTACCCCGAAAAACATTGGCCATGCTAGCTTGATACTAATGCTACAATGTTCAGTGCTGTATTTCTGTTTCTATGAGATATATCAGAATCGATTTTGCGGCATATTTTTTGCTAATTTTTTGCTCTACAAATATATCAATGTATTTTTGCTATTGTGGTTCGTAAGGAACAATGGATATGATAGCAAGTGATGTATCTCGGTTTCTATGAGATATATCAGAATCGGGTTTGTAGCATATATTTATTATATTTTTTTTTTCTATTTACAACCAAAAGAATATTTTTTTGCTTTAGTAGTTTTCAGGAAACATTAACCTCTTTAAATTAAGAAAACCATCCTTCATACCAAAGGGGATGGGATTATAAGATTGTTACCTACCTAGGAGTTGGTATGAAGATTAGATTGGCAGTTGCAGTTAGTATCTTGATCAGTTCCTAATATTACCTACCCTGTTTGATTATCCTTCTATAATATCTATTATAGTAAGGAGTTGTAGTTATTTTCGGTTAATAGTGACAGTACACTGAGAAAACGAGATCTATTAAACAAGTTTAATAGAAAAAAATTGATAACCACTAATAAATTACCTTATTTTGGGTTAATACCAATAATTAAACGAATGTTGCTAGAAATCTATTAACCTGAAGCTGCTGTAATTAGTGATTTGTTTAATAGCCAATAATGTATTATTAAAAAACTTTAATTGTTAATTCTATTAAATATGTTTAATAATATTCATTAAATTCTTTAATACATTCTAGTAATTGTTTAATAACCCTTAGTAAATATTAATGGTTTTATTCACCTGTCTAGTACTCGAGGAAACTAGTATTCGTGCGTGGTCGAAGATTCACGATCACGATGACCACGCCACATGCCACTAACGTAACTACATTCATTTTCTTTTAATTTGTGTTAATAAAAAGATGTCTGAATTGTTGCATAGTTGGATTGTGATACCTAAGCCGGTTGTGTGTTCGTAGTGCAGTGTACATTTTACTAAGTGCAGAATGGATTATGATAAACAATTTAATTACACATTGTGTGGTTAGTAATGTAAGACACAATCGCCCATGAATTGATCAATTAATGTTTTGCACACCTTTTAGGTCCATTTCATATGTGGCTGGGTTCGTATAGGTTTTGTTTTTATTTATTTTTTTTTTTTTTAGAATTCTCTATTGACGCAATAAATTGTTCAAAAGTATTTACATTTTTTAATTTTTCTCACCTGTCCTATATATTCTTATTTTTAAAACATGATGCAGAAATAAGTTACTTAGATGAACTTGTTTTGTGTTTTCTAAGGTTTTTGCAATATGAAATATATCTGTATGCAAACTTTTAGTAGTACCCCAGTTATATAAAGCTTTATTATGTGTAATCCTCTAAAGCCACTTTTTCAAACGTTTATCAGTTTATTTTCTACAAAAAAAATTTTAAAAAATCGTTAAAAAAAATAAAGTTTTTGTGATGTTTTTCCATAAAAACTAAATAAAAGTAGCTCTAGAGTAACAACAGTGAATGGTCGAGTGGGGAATCCTACCAAGGCATCAGAAGTAATTTTAAATAAATAAATTAAATAAAAAAACTTACCTCAATGTTATGCAAAGCTTCTCCTTGGCAAAAATCGAACATTTTATTTTATTTGTAGATTTCTTGGAAATATATTTTACAAAACTCAACACGAATTCAAAAAGATCTGTAGAAAGTCTAAAATACTCCCTAAATTTTAGTTTCATTTCCAAAAAGCCTCCGCGGCAAAGTGATATTAAAGGCACTTTCTATATCGCGACACAAAACAACTTTTGCACTGGCTTATTGGAAACTTTGACTGTTACAATTGTCAGTTCTTCTTCTTTTTCTTCCAACAATATTAATTAACAATGCAACCAATTTATTTGCATCCATTTTAGTACCTTTCATTTCTATTCAAAATATATAAACAGCACGTACATACATAAACAAATTCTCATTTTCTATATTTAAAGAAACCACCTCGGGCGAAAATCGCTGTCCTCAGCGGCCGACGGACTGTACGCTCACCGCGATGGAGTGTTCAAAGAAACCAAGACTTTTAGCCAATTCTCGCTGAATTCAAATCTTTGGCAATCGTAGAGGATCTGCCTTCTTGTTAGCATTCCCTGCAGAGTGCGGATTCTGACAGACCCATGCTATGGAGGTGCTTCCGTATTTGGCAATGACCAGTCAGAATTGTTGTGATCAGGCGCAGATTCTGTCTACTAGACAAAATCTGCGCCTATGAATACTAGTCTTCATATCTATGCAGCTTCTTGTTTTATCCCATTTTTCGTTGAATTTTACAAGGCAGTATTCCTTAATTATGTTTGTCACTTCCGATGTTGTCAGTCCAATAGAGGGATCAGGTCCAAAAAGTAGTGGCTAGTGAATCAGCAAGACGATTATCTTCAGATGTGACGTGACCTTTGATCCTTTTTAAGTTGACATTGTTGATGGATACTTCGGCCAAAGCTTCGTGACATTTTAGTACGAACCCTGAGTAAATTCGTGGTTTTTCCAGGGTGAGTAGTGCTATCTGCATAGACAAGCATGTTTCTTTTAGTGATATTGTTTCTGGTAACTTCTTTTGCTGCTATGAAAATCACTGTGAATTTGGTTTGAACTACACTGGCACTATTGCTCACCGCCCATTTTGTGTTTAGGTTTAAAGATCTGGACTATATTCCACATCCTGAGTCTTGTTCTGTTTTAAAACCATTTTGTAGATATGATGAATCGTGCCTGCTACTTCCAGCTTTTCTAGTTGTTCTATTATAACTTTGTATAGCTTATGGAAGATATATCTCGGTGAGATGGAGTCATTGTTTGCTTAAAGCAGTGGAAGCGTATCGAGCGCCTCCTGCCAAAAACGACATCGCGCTTCATCAGATCCTACATCAGGTTCTATTCCAACCGGGCGGTGTTGTGTCATTTTCATCAGAACAACCTCTTTTATATAAATATCAAGGGGGAGTGATACTAAGAAAGACTTCCATGGATCTGGTTAATGTGGTTTTAATGGCTCTTGTTATGTTGGGACATACTATTCTTTAAATTTATTCTAGTTTGCGGATAGCTACCAATTGTTAGGTTTTTGGTACCCAAACAACTGCACCTTATGTTAGCATGATGGTAACTAACTATGCTGGAGAATGCTCCTTTTCCAAATTTAAAAGATTGAAAAATTATAATTAAGAAGTACAATGATTCAAGAAAGATTAAACAGTTTATCGTTGATGTCCATAGAATGCGATGTCTTCAAACATATAGATTTTAAAGAAGTGGATGACGGTTTTTGTTTTTGTTTTTGTCTAAAATCGAGAAGGACACCTCTTAAATCAACGTAGAATTTTAAGATAGAAAAGGTACTCTTTTGGACTATATTATAATTACCTATTCATTTAATGTGACTGCAAAGAAATAAAAATAACAGTTGAATAAATCTAAAATTTTTCTTATCTACTGCTTTTGCATATTATTAATAAAATAGTCATCTATAATATCATAGTCATAGAGGCCCCATTATCCTAAACTGCCCAGGGTCTCCAATGTGTATTACGTTCCTAAGTGGTCGTAGAAAAATAAGTATTATCGACTATCTCGCAACGCTAGAGCAATATTGATAGATGTTATTGACACATTTTTTAAAACACCACAACGAAGATGCGGATACAGCTATTTGATAATTTTTGGGCAGATTAAACATAATTAGATCCAATTAGTGTCCCATCTTTACTGATTAGTAAATATTCAATTATTTAGAAATGCCATACATTTTTAATGAAAATTTATTTCTTTCATAAAATATATTTTGTATTGCGCAACATTGCATAAGAAAAACATTGTTTATTGAATTAAAATAAGCTAATTAACTATGATAAAAAAATATACAACTTGTTTGAAAAGCAAAAGAAAGATTGGCCGGAGGTCAATCGAAGATTTAAATAAATATTGTAATTAATTATCTCGGTAAGATTAGTAATGATCATGCAGTAAATAGATCCCAAATAAAAATCGTTAGGTATATAAAACTTTAAAATTGGGAATGCGGAACATTTTAATTCAAAATGTTTCATTCGCTGTAAGTATTAGTTTAGAATATTAGAGATAAGGTTAATTTTTTTTAAACACACACTTTTTCTTCAAACGTCAAAAAACTGCTTATTTTATCCACTCGTAAATTACAAAAATTATGAGTTGATATTACAATATTTTATTGTCAAGTAGTCAAGTTATGTGACATTTTATGAATATTAAATAATGTTAACTTGGTTCGTGAAACATGTGTCAAGTGAAAATAATGTCTCTTCAGTGGCAAAATTTCTGCTTTTAGTAATTGCATCATTTTACAGTATCAATTTTTGAAACCCACTCTTACTCAGGCAAATACATACATATGCCCCCGAAATTAGATGGTCATGTTTTAACAGCGTAATCTACATCCTAAAATAGAAGTAAAAGTTTATACAAACATAGGTCCGAAAACGTTTCCGAGATACAAGGTGTTAAAAGTGAAGTTCTGATGACACATTTTTGTAAATATTTTCTAAACTTTTAAAGATAATTAAGTTAAATTTGGTACAAATGTTAAACTTTTTACGTTCTATTTAATGGACTAAACGCCAGTTTTTGATCATCTTTATAGGTGGGTAAATTAGGGGAGGGGCTTAGGGTTAAATTGTCCTAAGTTTTTTGTTGACTGTTTTTAAAATTGTTGTCTACAAAATTTGGAAAACATATTTTCTTTATAATAAAGCTACTTTTGTTGTATCTCGCTAGGACGCACCATTTTCAAGAAAAAATCATTTGAAAATTTTATGATAATTTGATGTTATCCTATTCGAAATTGTAAACAATAATCAGTAGGCCTGTAGAATCAGAAATTTTATTTTTTTTTAAATTTGGAAAACCGGTGACTAAAGAAATTTCAGAAAATATTTTCAAAAATGTGCCATTAGGAGTTCACTTGCAACACCCTGTATCTCTAAAACGAATCGTTTTCGAACCTATGTTTATCTGAATTTTTCCTTCTATTTTAGGATGTAGATTACGCTGTCAAAATGTGACCGTCTAATTTCGGGAGACTCTGTATTTTCAAGATTTACAAACAATTTTCATTTAATTTAGTCAGATACTAAAGAATCATATAGTATAGTCAACTACTATATAGGCGTAAATAGCTCACTGACATTGTTTTAGGGTTACTAGGGGAAGTTACACGTTTGTGTTGTGACCTGTTTGTAGTCAATAACGCCTTAATATTATTTCTCTGCCAATAGCAATGCCTTGTGGTCTATAAAGTCAAATTGCTAGCTTGTTTTGACATTTGAAGAAATATTTTATTTTGATTGCTATATTAAAATAAAAAAAAGTAATTTTTTTATACATGTTGTTGAAAGAGGAATTTGGTTGATAATGCATTATGTTTTGTTATTATTAAATAACAACTAATGAGTTACTTAAACCAGAAATATACACATATTATGATGAAATTTGATAAGATGTACGAGTTTTCATTTTCTTTATTATTATATCCTATAATTTATACATTAGATGAAAATTCACTGTTACTCAGAATTGATAGTACAATTTTGTAGTATCTATGATAATTTCTTGAAAAAATAAATCATAACTTTGAATAATGAAAAGGAAAATAAATAAAATTAAAACTAGTACCTACAGTTTCCCTCATATACTCTATTCATTATAAATTGCCCACCCTATATATCGTTATTATTTCATATACCTACAAAAAAATATTTAAAATAAAACTTGTGAGGCTATGACTGAAATTTGTTAAAATTCTATAAAAAAAGATAGTGGCGTGTGGATTTCACCTAATACAACTATAGCTAGTTGTGTGTTAAGAGCGAAAAGTGATACTTTGCCGCATAAGACAGAATGTTGCCGCGCGACGCGTAGCGAAGCGCGACAATTTTTCGGAAGTGGCAACGAGCTTTTCGCTCAAAATGCACACAACGTTTTTTCTACGATCACATTATTTTAATAAATAGATATTAAAATTGAAAATTTGTCGTAAGTAGTGTATAATGTGTTGCCTATATCTATGTTACTCAAAAAATGAGTTGATATTCAAAGTCAGTGTTAACTTGGATAATAAAACGAAAAACATCAAACTACGTACAAATAACTTTAAAATCATTTATTGAAAAGAAATATTATTATATTATTTCTAATTTAAATTAGGCGAGCAACAAAGCTATCAAGTTTTCCGCTCGGCGAGCGACAAAGCTGTCACTTAATGTCAGTTCGCAGAAAACGTCAACTTTGCGATTGTATTTCCAAGCGCAAAAGCCTACTTTAAATAGGAAAAAATAATTATTTGTATACCAAGAACGTATAGTTTATTTTTTTGACGGAATGAGAAAGGAGGGGGCGCGTTTTAAATGTAAAATACCCTTCAGTCAGAATTTGACAAAATTTTGATGATGTAGAACTTAACCTATCTCCGTTGCGCCAAAGCTCTAATTTAACATTTTTTGATTTACAGGGTGTCCAAAATCACTATTTCATAATTTCATATTATCGTAAAATGTTTTTGTCAATATTAGCACAAACATAAGTGAAATCTTTTTTTTTTTTTGTAACTTAATACAATTCTCTATTTGCTTTCCTAATTTTTGTACATACAGCTGGTATACAGGGTATGACCATATACAGAGTGGCCCAAAAATCTGGAAACGGCCAAATATCTCGTAAATTTCTAGTCATAATAGTACAAAATTTGGGGTGCTCCTATTACAGGATACGGAGATTCCAGATTTGATTATTGCAATGTTGCCAGATTTTCCGTTTCTCTTATATTATTAGTCACTTCGGTTTTTCAAATTCAGTATCCTGTATATTCAGTCAATATTGGAGTCTCCTATTCAATACGAGTTCAACCATATGTAACACTTATGATTTTATATAGTCTGGAAGGTCTTAAATAAATAAAACAGAAGTCTGGCAACGTCTAATTGTCTCAATAAATTTTTTAATACAAACAATTTTCAACTACATTAAAGCATAACAATTGGAAGATTACAACATTTTTAACATAATGGTTACTTTATCAAGTGTTCAAAATGTGCTCCATTTGTGAGTTGACAGTACCCTAATCGATGGTAGAATGTGTCTACCACATTTCTCCATGATTGTTTTATTTATTTAAGACCTTCCAGACTACATAAAATCATAAGTGTTACATATGGTTGAACTCGTAATAAATAGGATATTCCAATAATGACTGAATATACAGGGTGATTAATTTGAAAAACCAAAGTGACTAATAATATAAGAGAAACGTCAAATCTGGCAACATGGCAAATATCAATTCTGCAATCTCCGTATCCCAAAATAGGTGTACCACAAATTTTGTACAATTAAAACTAGCAACTTACGAGATAATTGGCAGTTTCCAGACTTTTGTGCCACTCCGTATATGTTTAAAAAAAAAAAATGTATGGTGAAATTGTCTTGATATTTTGGTGAAACCACGCTAATACATATATATTTCCATTTAAATTGTTATTATAAGTTAGTTCCGATACAGGTATGATGTACAGAGTGTTTCATTTCTTTAATATTATTAATTTTTCTAGTTCATTTTGTGATCAGCCAACTAAAATGAAAATGGTAAAATCAACTATTTGCTATCTGCATATGCCTACATACTATTCGCTTTGTGTTTATATTTATACTATAAACATAAAGGGCCACAGCCATCCCTCGAGTTCTTTAAATGGAAAGCCCTTACAATTGGATTAAATGAAAGTTCACTGAAGCACGATTTCAAAAATGTATGAAATGTTCGATTTCCACTATGCATAAAAACGTTAAATTAATGAGAACTTTACATCACATTGTTACATTGTAACTCTTATTTTCATCTATAGGACGGACTCATAACCGTCTAAGCCCAAAGTAGGCACGTTTACTTTTGTGATGAAACAATGATATTATCGCGCTACTTTGTTACGTTATTCAACGTTACTGGAACTTCCCAAAAATGATGTCTTTTTAACAAACCAGATGTGACATTCCTGTTATATCCAAGAAAGTCTTTTTACTTTTTGTAAATGTTATAAAGCCCATAAAATAAAATCATATTATTGAACTAAATGTGACGTTCATACCTTTCTATTTTTATCTTTCTCTTTTAAATTTTATATGGACTATAAATATTTTATATATCTCATCTATATGAAACAGAATAAAAATAAATAAACTTACGTTAAAAGCTTAGAAGACAAGTTAAACTTCTTTTCTAATCCCAGGAAATTTTACAGAAAAAGTATGATAATACAATGGTCTAAATCAATATCAAAGGTAAAAGTAAGAACTTTGATGAAATACTTAACACTGAGCAACAAATTGCTCCATAATACAGTACTACCGGTTACGTAAGCAGCAAGCGATCATTGGTATCTCCATCTATGAACGCGGGACGAATTGTTAGGTCTGCGATTTAAAGACTAAAGATAGCCATCTTAAAGATGTGTAACTTGTACACATTACTGTATGCGATATTATTGTGAGACATCGTATTAATATTTCTCACAGGAAATAACTAAAAAGAAGTACAAAAGATGTTCATGTAAGTGCCAATTCAAGTATCCCAGCGTACATAAAACTTCATTTGTATATATATGCGAGGAATGTTAATGAATATGATGTTAAAATTTAAACATCTATGGAGTATTTTAGCAATGTATCAAGAAAAGTCTCTATGAGAAACGTTACAAAAAAGACTGGTAATGTTTCATGTTTAGTGAGTGCGTTACTTTTCCTTTAACACTTTTTCGAAAAGACGCTTAAAAATGGCTGTCGCCTAACTTTTTCCAAAAGTAACGCTTAAAAAATCGAAAAAATGATTAGTGTATATTTTTCTATACAAAAACAATTTTCAGTCCTAACAATGGCGGGTGTACGAACCCAGAGTTCTATAGTTTATGAAAAAAATAGTACGCCAATGGTTTTTTCCAAATTAAAATTATTTCTAATATTCTGTTTAATTTGAAACGCAAGAGCTCTCTTGAGTTGTTTTCCTGCGATATGCCGTTTTTAAGTAAAAAATAA